CCTCCCTCGGCCCGTCTGCAAATGTGTGCCCCTCTTTCTATCCTCTCTTTAGCGAGCCGGTGCTGTTAAAGAGAGCAACCCTGAGCTACGTAGAGAGGAGAGCCGTTGCTCGGCTTGGCCGGCGTGCATGCACCAGGACCAGGGCGCACACAGTGTTTGTCCTCTCTTGCTCTCTCTCTCTCTCTCTCTCTCTCTCTCTCTCTCTCTCTCTCTCTCACCTGCTGACGGATAGCCCCGTGAGAGCGACAAGGACGGGAGGTACGCGGCATAGAACGCCGTGCAGCAGATTCACCGTGCTGCCCGCTCCTGCAGCGCAAACGCAAAAGGCAAGAGGAGTCTCTTTTCAAGGGGATTCGCCTCTTTGCCACGGCTTTTTGGGACGCCAGAGAGCGAGCGCCCGGCACCACAGACAGAGAAAAAAGAACCGCACACATACACGCATGCGAGCAGCACCAGAAAAACTCTGTCTCTCTCTCTCTCACTCGAGGAGCACGAGTCCATGGCTGCATCATGGTACCTCGTGTCGGACTGCTGCAACACTCAAATAGGTAAGGGCGACTACACGCCTCCAGCCGGTCGTGAGCAGAGAGGATTCTAGTGTGTGTAGTAGTCAGTTAGTGTGGCGCGGGTACTATTAGGGCATCATGGAGTTCGTTGTTATGAAGTGTCGAAGGCAGGGGTCGCAAATTCGCGGCTCCCCCGAGCCAGGTGCGGCTCGCATAGCCCGGTAGCGTGGCTCGCCGAGAGCAGCCCACCTCTAGCGTTCGGCTGGAGCCGAGGTTCCGGAGAGCCACGCTCGGGTTGGCCCGGTGTGTGTCTGTCTTTCTCTCACTCATTAGGTGCCAGTAGGAGCGACAAGGACAGACGCGCAGGCCGGCGGACACCACTAGCTCTATCTCTCTCACTCTATTGCCGAAGACCTCGTGGAGCGTGTGGCCTATGCAGGCGCGGCTCGAGTTTGCGACCCCTGGTCTAGTGTGTGAGGAAGTAATTATGATGGCTCATACTTCATACGTTGAGGTATCATAAGCAGTTGTTCTGGGATCAGGCTTTAATGAGAGAATTGGAAGGTCCGCGTGTACAGAGCATTGCTCTCCAAAACACACAAACACACACACACACGTGAGTGCACGGGCACACACACTCGACACTGACCAGCGGGCAGGCCACAAGGAGCAGTCCTCGTTGCGAAACTCATCAAGATCCCTGAGCAGTGCGGAGATGGAGCCGGCAGTGCGACCCGTGGCGCGGAGCGGGGTGGGGCGGGGTGGGGCGAGGGGGTGGGGCAGGGGGCGCGTGTTTGGATTGCACCAGGCTGGCAGGCCGATGTATCCGCTGCTGCTCCCGTATTTACCGTGAGGGGATGAGGGCGCCACTCGGTCCCGCCTGTCTGTCTGTCTGCCTGTCTGTCTGTCTGTCTGACCGTCCTATCTGCCCCGCCTGTCTGTCGGGGCGCTCGGTGTGACGCTGGAATGAGATCCAATAAAATGACCACGGGCGCAACGCCCAGCCAACCCTCCACCTCCCCATACCCACCCACCCTAGTTTTCTTCCCTTTTTTTTCATTTCCCTCTTCCCCCCTCCCTTCTCCCCAATTCCTTTCTCCACCCTGCCACCGCCGTCTATCTTCAACACGCCCCCGCCTCGCCTCACGAAGCCAATCAGAGCGCAGTGGCGACCCGCTTGGCCTTCTTCCTCAAGCCCCCGCGCGCGCCGTTGCAGCGGAGACGCCGGCCGCGGCGCTTAGCCGAATATTAGTGTTGTTACAATATTTGTCCAGCGTTGTGTTTGTCAGAGGGGAGGGCGAGGGGGG